AAATTCCAAGGTACTTTCCAAAGGAAACAAAACTATTTGTTTATAATTAATTTTAAAATTACATTACTCATGGTGTCTCTCTTGCAATTCACAGCGCATACATTTTATAATCTACATTTAAAGTCCGATACAGCTGTTTCCTTATCCAGCTGATAAACCCTTTCAGTGACAGACAGACAGACTCCCTTCAGAAGCAGCAGCAGACAACGAACTCGACTTAGAGGCTTCTCCTACATCTTCTTTGAATTTTATTATTTTCCTCTGTTTTCGGATTCGGGGAGCTCTGGGTAAGGATAAAAACGCACTTACTTTCGCAGGGGAATCGATTCGAACAGTGGGAAGACGCAGGCCCGCATGAACAAAGCGAAAACGGGACGGAGAGATTACGTTTAGTTTGTCACTTCGTAGCAACAAGTTCGTAACCTGACTTCGACTACTGGTTTCTAATTCCGTATTCACACGCGACCCATGTTACGCGGGTCCCTTGTCACCACGGTATGGCGCGTCCTCAGGTTGCGGATGGAGGAGACAGACGACAAGGGGTGGTCCTCCAGCTTGGGGGTTGGGCGTGGGGCTTATAACTCCTCACCGTAAAAAATAACCTTGTTACGAAAGTTCTCAAGAAGCCTCGGACCTGGATGGATCCTCTGGATAAAACCACTGGGAAGACCAAAACGTAGGTGGGCGGATAATATTAAAATGGATCTTAGAGAGTTAGGATGGGATGGTATGGATTGAATTGATCTGGCTCAGGATAGGGACCAGTGGAGGGCACTTGTTAACACGATAATGAATCTTCGGGTTCCATAAAATGCTGGGAAATTCTTGAGTAGCTGCAGAATTGGCTTCTCAAGAAGGGCTCAGCTCCATAAGTAAGTATTCACACGCTGCATCCAAGTACAGCCTCGGTCCGTTTCGAAAGATCGATTTCACATCGAAGAGAGTTCCCTCATATTAATTTTGCACAAGTAAAGTTTGATTTATTGAAACGCGATTATATTAATTCATCTGAAATACAGTACAAACCACTTACACGCTTTCTGTTCAATGTAATGTGATTTTGTAGAAATGTGTTGGTTAATTGTCTGCATATTTTATTATGTAAATGTGAAAGGGCACATACAAACATGTTTTTATTCCAGTAATTAAGGTTTAATTCGAATATAAACTTTATTCGAAGTTAACTGCAATTCCCCATCAAATGAAGCTATCAAAACTTCTCTGAATCAATTCGTTTGGATGTAAAATGGAACGAATAAATTTCACTGAAATATGCAGAAGAAAAGCGAGTGAGATAATGTTAATATTTTTGTACAGATTATGAATTAGAATATAATTAGAAATATAATATATTTGTAGACCAAACCAAAGTTCAGTACGCTTCAAGATAAGGTTTTACAATTTAATAGCACGTACCGCATAGACAACCACGCTGAAGTACGGAAAATCCAAGGTAAATCATCAATGCAATGAAGATAATTTAATTCGCTTAACGCGGGGAGTGGAGTCCAGCTGGGTCCACTCGGCAGGGCGGCCACTGATTGGCCTATTGTAGCCTGCCCCGGGTGATTATGATGATGGAGAATCTGGTGGAATGAAGATTGGCAGGGGAAACCGAAGTACGAGGAGAAAACCCGCCCCAGCGCCACTCTGTCCACCACAAATCCCACTTGACCAGACGCGGGATCGAACCCGGGCCGCCGCGGTGGGAAGCCAGCGACTAACCGCTTGAGCTATGGCGCGGCCTCGAATGAAGATAATTAGCGGGAGACTCAGAATCTGCCACAGCGGATGTCCTGCGTATGTTTATGCTGCTTCAAATGTACAATTTGTCACGATTTAGGGGGTGTGACTATAGACGGGGTATAGATTGGTGAATGCATG